ACAATAGGACATCCAGCTAAGCCAAAAAATGAACTTTGTGGAGTATATATATATACTTAGATCTCCCCTGTCTTCCTATTTCTTTTGATTTGAGTACCGTTTAAATTCACAAACACGAACGTGTAAAATAATTGCATTTTTATTTAGGAACCTTGCTTTTCCAACTACTTTTTGTTGTTGTTCTCATGTGCCTTCAAGTTGTTTCCCATTTATGGCAACCCTAAGATGAAGCTATCATGGAGTTTTCTTTGGAAGAATTGTTCAGAAGAGGTTGCCAATGCCTTTTCCTGAGGCTGAGAGAGTATGACTTGCCTAAGGTCACCCAGTGGGTTTACATGGCTGAGCTGGGAATTGAACCCTGATCTCCAGAATCATAGTCCAACGCTCAAACCACTACACAACTTATGGCAAACCAAGGCAAACCTATCATGAGGTTTTCTTGGCAAGATTTGTTCAGAGGTTTGCCTCCCTCTGAGGCCGAGAGTGTGTGACTTGCCCAAGGTGACCCACTGGGTTTCATGACCGAGGGAATCAAACCCTGGTCTCCAGAATCATAATCCAATGCCCAAACCACTATGCCATGCTGGCTCTCAAATAATGGCTGCATCTGCACTGCAGAAATAATCCAGTCTGACACCACTTTACCCACCGTGGCTCAATGCAATGGAATCTTGGGAATCGTAGTTTGTCCTGGCCCCAGAGTGCTCTGATCGAGAAGACAAAATGTGTCACAAAACTAGTTCCCAGGATTCCATAGCATTGAGCGAAGGGAGTTGAAGCAGTATCAAACTGGATTATTTCTGCAGTCGGTGTTGCCATTTCATGCCCCAAGAATAAAACCAAATAAAGTATTTTATTTGATGAGAGCTGGTTTGCTCTTATAATACTTTCTTGCTATGTTATTGCAAGATGGTCTGTTTGTTTTATACCTTAATTTTATTCTATGTTTTAATTGTTCTGGGTTAATATCTTTTTAGGGGTGGGTGGGTTTGGGTGTTGATGTACCAATTGGTGTTTTTAATGTTGTAAGCCGCCCCGATTGCGCTGCGGAGGGGTGGGATAGAAATATATTATTATTATTATTATTATTATTATTATTATTATTATTATTATTATTTCTCTTTCTCCTTTTTTCCCTCTGCTTCCCCCCCCCAAAAAAAACAACCACTTGACAGCTGCCAATTTATTAAAAATAATCCTAACCTTCTGTAAAGGTGGGATTATTTTGTAGATGGGATTATTTCTTGGAGCTACCAAGACGAAATCATTCCTGGCCAAGGTATCCTAGCCATCGGTTGGAAACTCGGCTAAGAATAGAGATGGGGAGATCCTGTCAAATTTCTCACCGCCTTTAACCAAGGGATCTATGCATCGCTCGGAGGATGCTTCAGGCTATGAGTGAACAAACACAGAAGGTGTAGAAGGATTGCCTGAAAAGCCTATATAGATTTTTAATTTAATTTCCGCCCGCCCTGCCTCAGCTGGTTGCCTTCACTGTTTCCCAACCTGGTTTTCATCATCCATTGGAAACTGTCAACGGTGTCAGAGGCACACACACAAAAATTGGTTGAGATGATGTACATTTCACACCTTCTGGCACCTGTTCCTCCTCATTATAAGGATGAGGTTGTAAGCAGGAGGTTTTCATGCACCAAATTTCTTTTTTATTCGGTTGCTGTTTGGTGGGAGGAGGGTGAGAGAGGGAAGGGAAGAAGGAATTAAATTGTCAGTGAAATCTATGACAAGGTCCTTGTGTTTACTCAGTGTTCAATTTATAGAAGGGCAGGACGGATGGCTCTTTAGAGAGAGAACATTATCAAGCATTGGGTTGTGCTTAGTAGGGCATCACTAGGGTCCATAGAATCATACAGTTGGAAGAGACCTCAAGGGGCATCCAGTCCAACCCCATTCTGCCATGCAGGAACTCACAATCAAAACACCCCCCAAGAGATGGCCATCCATCCTCTGTTTAAAGACCTCCAAAGAAGGAGACTCCATCACCTTGCAAGACAACATCTTCCACTCTCCAACAGCTCTTACCATCAGAAATGTCTCCCTAATGTTCTTTTCCCGTAGTTTGCATCCATTGCATCACGTCCTATTCTCTGGAGCAGCAGAAAACAAGCTTGCTCCATCCTCAACATGAAATCCCTTCAAATATTTAGACAGGGCTATCATGTCACCTCTTAACCTTCTCTTCTCCAGGCTGAACATACTCAGCTACTTGCCACTCCTCAGAGGGCTTGGTGGTTTCCAGACCTTTCTTAGCGATGGAAGGGACCCCAAGGGCCATCCAATCCAATCCAACCCCATTCTTCCATGCAAGAAGACACCATCCAAGCATTCCCTCTGACAGATGGCCATCCAGACTCTGTTTAAAGACCTCCAAAGAAGGAGACTCCACCATTCTCCATGGGAGCTTCTTCCACTATCGAACAGCTCTTACCATCAAGACGTTCTTCCTAATGTTTAGGTGGAATCTCTTTTCCCGAAGCTTGCATCCATTGCTCCATGTCCTAGTCTCCAGAGCAGCAGAAAACAAGCTTGCTCCAGCCTCAGTGTGACACCCCATCAAATATTGAAACAGGGCTATCATGTCCCCTCTTAACTTTTCTTCTCCAGGCTGAACATACCCTGCTTCCTAAGTTACTCCTCATTGGGCATGATTTCCAGACCAGGGTTGGCATTACCTGATGTGGTAACTCATGGTGCCAGTCTCCATGGCAGGGGTAGGCAACCTTTTCCCTTTAAGGGCCGAGGGACTTCAGCTCCCAGAATCCAAGGAGCTATTGGCCAACATGGCTGAGGCTTCTGGGAGCTGAAGTCCCTCGGCCCTTAAAGGGGAAAGGTTGCCTTCTTCATGGTGTCAGTCCCGCCTCCCATACCACACGATACAGAATCCTTTGTAATGTTTTCTTGTACTAATCCAAGACTTAGCTGTGTTAGTCTGGAAAATCAGTCTGCAAAGGAATTTTGTAGCGTCTTTGAGACTAACTGAAAGAAAGGAGGTTGGTAGCATGAGCTTTCCTAGATTTGAGCCTACTTGAGCCAACCTCTCCATGGCCAACCTCTGCTGGAAATTGACCATTAAGTGGTCCTGAAGGATCTCCAGATGCCTAGAGAGAGATCATATTTCTTCCCAGATGTGGTTAAGTGATACTGGGATCCAGATACTGGGATCATACTGTATTCCCGCATGGCAGAGGGTTGGATTAGATGCTTCTTGTGGCTCCTTCCAATTCTATGATTCTATAATTACATTTGGGGCACAGGACCCACGTGAAAGTGGAAAAACCACAAATAAAAAAGCCTCTGGTTTGTTTGTTTTTAACCTGAGAGAGTACTTCTCTGGGAATCTTTGGGTCTTCCAGTGTGACTCCATGGTCAACTTCCAGCAGAGTCACACCAGAAGATCTAGAGAGAACTTATCAGTTAAAAACATGAATTATGAAATCCGCAAAAGTCAAATGCACAAATATGGAGGGCTGACTGTATTCTAATGGATGCTGGCCTTAGTGTGGCAATTTAGAAAGTGCTCACAATGTTTCATCTAAAACCTGGAATGCATTCACTGCCTCCACCAATATGAGCTGCATCTGCACTGCAGAAATAATCCATTTGACACCACTTGATCTGCCATGGTTCAGTGCTATGGACTTCCAAGAATTATAGTTATGTTGTGGCAGCAGAGTGCCTTGACAGAGAAGGCTAAATGTCTCACAAAACTACAGTTCCCAGCATTGAGCTCCATAGCATTGAGCCAAGGTGGTTCAAGTGATGTCGAAATGGATTATTTCTGCAGTGCGGATGCCGCCATGGGCACCATCACCCATTGCTTCCTTAATAATAGAAGTAGGCCACACATGGTGTCTCTCTTTCCCTCTCTGCTTGGATTAGGTTTGTCAAAACCTGTCAAATGCAAAAATCTGATAAAGCGGTTGTGGGCAACCCATCCCTTTTTCTTTTTCTTTTTTTCGTGCTCCTTAAAATAGAAGCACAGAAATAAAACAAACCAAGGCAATAAGCCCAATCTCGTTTTGTTGTTCATAAATGCTGGCAAGAGCAGCGGTCTCAATGCACAAATCAAATAAGTGCACCTATTTACTTGACGTATTTCTGTCAGGCTTATTCATTTTTACAGATGTGGGGAAAGGAAGCTGGAGAGTTGGGTGGTTTTTTGTATGTGTGCTTTGTATAACTGCTAAAAAAGAAAAATCTGAAAGTTTCCATAACTGGAGTTCTCCTTGAAAACACATATGGGTGGTTTTGGGATAATAAGACTAAATCTTTGTGATAAATTAGACTGTGAGGGCCATGTTTACAATCAGTGGGTTTGCAAGGAGGAAGAGCCATTCCTTTTAGCCCAGAAAATGGCCAACAAGAGACTTTTCCCAAGCTTTAGGTAATGTATTATTTCTCGTACCTGGGAATTTCAGCTTCTTGCCTTGCGATATAATAAATGAATATATTTCCTTGAGTCTTCATGTGCATTATGTTAGTGATGATGCTTTTTCCAGGTTGTGGAGTAATGGAGAAAAGGGGCAAAATTTTCTACCAGCAGATGTTTCTTTCATTACTTCTTTCTTTCCTTCCAAAATCTAGGTTGCACCCGACATGTATTCACTTCTCCAAAATGTAATAACTGTTTTGGAAAACGTTCCATAAATTATTCAAAGATATAGCCGTATTAGTCTGCAGAATTAGTACATAGAGAGCTCTTGTAGCACCTTTGAGACTAAGAGAAAGAAAGATGTAGGCAGCATGAGCTTCCCTAGACTTTAAGTCTATTTCCTCAGATGTATTTGGACCAAAATGTATCTGAGGAAGTAAACTTTTCCAGAAAAGTTCATGCTGCCAATTTCTTTCTTTCAGTTAGTCTCAAAGGTGCTACAAGATCTCTCTATGTACTGATTCCATAAATTATATTATTTCTCTTCATTATTTGTGTATTCTAGTGCTAGGGCAGTTCCAAAAGAACAAGATGGTCTTGTGAAGGTTACATGGCATGTTTGTTCTCTATGATGCCAAAAGACTGGAAAATGGATTATAGACCAAAGACTAGGGAATGGTTGGCCCAAATGCATCTGAGGAAGTAGACTTAGTCTAGGAAAACTCATGCTGCCAACTTTTTTCTTTCATTTAGTCTCAAAGGTGCTACAAGATCTCTCTACATACTAACACCTAGAAGTTTTGACTTCTATCAAGTTTTTTAGCTTCATGGCATTTTCCCATCATGTGTGCTTTGCAATTGTGACTGCATCCTTGGAAAAATATATTGGAATACAGGTTGAGTCTCCCTGATCTGAAATGTTTGGAACCAGAAGTGTTTTGGATTTTGGGATACCTGTATTGGCATATATAAACAGAAACATGAAACCCATTTATGTTTCATAAACACCTTGTATAACATAGCCTGAAGGCAATTGTATACAATGTGCATAATAATTTTGTGCATGAAACAAAGTCACTGTACATTGAATCATCAGAAAGCGAAGGTGTTACTATCTTAGCATACAATGTGTTTAATAATTCTGTGCATGAAACAAATTTAATGTGCATTGAACCATCAGAAGCCATCAGAAAGCAAA